TAGGCCTACATAGAGACTTAACAGACCTCCACTAACGGCCAAAAATTTCAAAATTTCGAAATACACGAATCAACATTTCAATTAAGTGAAATTATTAGCAGATCCCTCTCCTTGTAGCGAATCGAGCTGTCAATGAATGATTCAATTTATGGATTCGCTTCACCGCCAAGTCCCAATCATCTGATTATCTTGACCATGACCAACCCAATCACAAAACTTCAACCAATCATAAAACTTCATCACAATCCGTCTGTAACATTTCGCATAATGCCACTGATTGGCCAATCGTCAACGGATGAGTTAAAAAATTGGCGAAAGTAGAAATAGAGGCGTTTGTTTCTAGATGATTCGCCAATCGTCAACGGATAATAAAATAAAAAATAATTGGCGAAAGTAGAAATAGGCGTTTGTTTATAGGGTGAAATAATAACGTTATTGAGTAGATTAGGGTCCATATTGGCAAACCAGAAAGGAAAGCAAAGCAAGTCCAAAACAAGGGGTCATGAAAGTGACATACAGCCACATTAGATGATAAAAAAAAAGGCGAAAGTAGAAATAGAGGCGTTTGTTTATAGAGGGAAACAATAACGTTATTGAATAGATTAGCGTCCATATTGGCAAACCAGAAAGTCGAAAACAGGGGGTCATGAAAGTGACATACAGCCACATTGGATTTCGAGTGATTTACGCCTTTAACGACAGACATCTGTGATCCTTCGGGCATGTGTGGGCATCGGAGCGTGGCATGGTATCCCCTCCCTCCCCTCCCCCTTTCCTCCTCCCTCCCCCTCCCCTCCCCCTACCCACTTGCTCTTCCCCCTCCCCTCCCCTCCCCTCCCCCTTTCCTCTCCTCCCCTCCCTCCCCTCCCCTACCCACTTGCTCTTTCCCCACTCCCCTCCCCTCCCTCCCCTGCTCGCTCTTCCCCCATTTTTTTCTACTTTCCCTTAACTCTCTTCTCCCTTCCTTCACCTGCCTCTCCGTTTCTCCTTTTTTTCCCTCTACCCTTTCTTTGTTCTTCTACTGTCTGCCTATTCTTCTGTTCTCCTCTTTGCCTCTATTCTCTATTGTTCTTCTTCTCTCTCTCTCTCCTGTTCTTACTCTATTTTCCCCTATCCCTGTTCTTTATTCTTTCGGTTTTGCTTGTCATTCCCCTGTTCATTCCCTGTCAATGCTATCCACTCTTTCTTCTCTTCCTGCTTCTGCCCCTTCTTCATCCTTCCATCGCCTGTCTTCTTTTCCTCCTTCTCTCTTCCTTCCTTACCAGACCGCTCCCACTCCTCTCAATATTTCCTCCCTCCCATTGCCCTCCTTCCTACTTTTCTCTTCTCTTGTCCTTCCTTCCCACTTTTCTTTACTCCTTGCTCTCCTTCCCACTTTTCTCTCTCTTTGCCTTCCTTCCTACTTTTCTCTCCCCTTGTGCTTCTTCCTACTTTTCTCTCCCTTTGCCCTCCTTCCTACTTTATTCTCCTCTTGCTCTCCTCCCCATCTTTCTCTCCCCTTGCCTTCCTTCCCACTTTTCTCTCCCCTTCCCTTCTTCCCATTTTTCCTCACTCCTTGCTCTCCTTCTCATTTTCCTCACTCTTTGCCCTCCTCCCAACCTTTCTCTCACCTTTCCCTCCTTCCTACTTTACTCTCCTCTTGCCTTCCTTCCTACTTTCCTCTCCCCTTGCTCTCCTTCCCACTTTTCTCTCCCTTTGCCTTCCTTCCTACTTTCCTCTCCCCTTGCTCTCCTTCCCACTTTTCTCTCCCTTTGCCTTCCTTCCTACTTTCCTCTCCCCTTGCTCTCCTTCCCACTTTTCTCTCCCATTGCCCTGCTTCCCACTTTTCTTCACTCCTTGCTCTCCTTCCTACTTTTCTCTCCCTTTGCCTTCCTTCTTACTTTACTCTCCTCTTGCTTTCCTTCCCACCTTTCTCTTCCCTTGCCCTTCCTTTCCACTTTTCTTCACTCCTTGCTCTCCTTCCTACTTTTCTCTCCCCTTCCCTCCTCCCCACCTCTCTCTCCCCTCACCCTCCTCCTCACCTTTCTCTCCCCTTACTCTCCTTCCCACTCTTGTCTCCCCCTTGCCCTCCCTCCCTCCCTCCCTCCCCCCCTCTCTCTCTCTCTCTCTCTCTCTCTCTCTCTCTCTCCCTCTCCTCTCTCTCCCTCTCTCTCTCTCTCTCTCTCTGTCTCTCTCTCTCTCTCTCTCTCTCTCTCTCTCTCTCTCTCTCTCTCTCTCTCTCTCTCTCTCTCTCTCTCTCTCTCTCTCTCTCTCTCTCTCTCTCTCTCCCCCCCCCTGCCAGCACGCTCCTGTGACGCCCGGGCATCGACAAGGACTGCCCGCCGCTGGTTGAGTGAAAGCGTAAAATGAGAGAAATAATAGTGGTATTTCTTTTACTTTTTAGGAGTAAAAAACAAAAACAAACAAAAAACAACAGCAAAAAGAAAAGAAATACAAACAAACAAACAAAAACAACGACAACGACAAAAAACGATATGAGAATCATGGGATTAAAAAGAAA